ATTCTACATTCCCGCGCTTCTCAAGCACAAGTTTTCCAATTTCAACGACCTGATCCTGGAGCAATTTGGCCTCAAGAAGCTCTCCTGCTTCAGTAAAGCACGCTGCGACCGAATCAACTAGAAGGATTGGAGAACATGTCCCAGTCCTGTTACTGGATGACGGGATAGCTCGCATGATCAGTTCTGTGTCGATCTCCTTCATTTGGGGGGTGTAGCTTCCAATGAGAATGATGTGTGTACCACAGCGTACCCACGCAGAGGGGAAGAGTGGGGAACGTGAAGCGGTTGCTGTGATAATGATAGATGCTTCCGAGACGGTCGCTCTCAATGCTTCTTGAGCCTCGTCGCTTCCATCCGGAGTTTGAACGTCGATCTGTACAGAAGGATGCTTTGCTCGGAGATGCGAAATGAGGTTCATAACTCGACCATTGAGCGTCCTATTCACAACTGTACATGATTTGACTGACGAAAATGCTGCAAAAAAGATATCGAGATGCGCATTGATTTGTTGGCCTGCTCCAAAAGCGACAATATGCCTTGGCGATGTGAGTCCAACAAGAGTCGTGGACAGCAAGGATCCTGGAGTAGTGGGACAATCAATGGCAACGGTAGAAGAAGTTCCATTCATAATATGACAAACCTGCGGCATTCCTTAAAGCAGTCAAGCTTCTGGCATTGACTATTGCTTTGACCACTCCAGTTACGTTATCCAAAACTAAGGTACTCGCTGGCAAACCGCGGGTATCATCGGAAGACGAAGGCACCGAAACTACTTTGATGGCAGTGCAGTCGGGAAGCGCACCTCGGGCTGTCGTAGATATTCTGGCAGGCATGAATAGACCTGTATGATTTTCCATTGGAATTGAAATTCTGTGAGGAGTATTATGTTTGGGAAGAGAATCTGAAGAGATCAAAGCGAATACATCCTCCATGATAGATTGGAGTAAATCTGGATCTAATTTTGAGGTGATATGATTTACATCTGCGCTGGTGAGCACCCGCAAAGACATTGTAGTGTGGCTGTGCAATCACTTCATGTCATCTCGCAAGCGAAAACATAATTCAACTTGGCGCAAAAAAGAATCCCATATTCATAATGAGGAACAGTCCATAGATCCTGCTTTGTTCGTCCTAGCACATGAAGCCAATATCACTCGCGGCCCTCGTGGCCACGTCGCTGCACTGTCCCTCGAAATTCGTAAAGTGGATGGCGAGATAGATGTTGGCAGTGGACTCATACCACTGAACAAGGACGTTTACACTCCTGGTGCTTTCCCTGAAGATGAAGATGTCAGCCAAAGTCCGGGCAATTCAAAAGACCAAGTTGAAGACATCTGGGTGGATAGGTATGCTTGTCTCCAGATCGAATGAAAATTGTCAAACAATCGCGCGTAACGAATCATCTTATGGACTCAATCCTTGAGAAATTAGGCATCCTTTTTCATTGCTTTTTTTCTGCATACTGCGGTCGATTTGCTAATGGCCCATTTCCTAGGTATGACGCAAGGCTCCTGCTTGATCCAGGTGCACTTTCGAGTCTGGCGACGAAAGATCAGCCACCTGCGGCTATTCCAAGTTCGCCTACAGGCTGGTCAGACCTTCCTTCCGACGCAGAAGACACTTTCTTCCTCACAGCAGAAGAAACGGAAGACTATCGTCGAGAAAAGCGGCGAAAACTGCTGGACCAGAATAGGGAAGAAAGGCTCAAGGGCCGGATGGAGGAAGACGGCGAGGAAATGTGGGGTGAAAGCGATGAAGAAGTGCGTGGACTTTCTATGCTAACTCTCATATTCACTCTCAACTTGTTCTCTCAGCCTGAGGAGTCTCAGAAGGAAATCATGCGCCGCACGGCGAAGTCTTTGCTTTCGTCTCCCAACCCAGCCCAGCTAGAGATTCGGATCCTCGCAAATCACGGTGCAGACGCGCGTTTTGCGTTTTTACGTGGACGGTGGGGTCGTGCTTGGAAAACTATAAAAGCTCATGCGCGAGCGGACAAGTTGGAAGAAGATCAAAAGGTTGCTGCAAAGACGAATCCCGTCGGAATCGGACTTGTTGCGGATTACGGAGATAGCGACGAGAGTGGTGAGGGTGGCGAAGCCAATGAGAAGGACGAGGAAAGTGTGGGTACTTCTGAGCCTAGCAAAGCCAAGGTCGAGGTTGAGGCAGCTCGTCGTGAACGAGCAAGGGAGTGGATAGCCAATAGGAAATTGGCTGCGTCGACATAACGCTTGACAGAAAAGCATGGCTCTGCTAAATCTCGCTTTCGAATTGCTATGGTGTATTTAGTTGCAGAAAGAAAATATTTTATGTGAAATAAATCCCTGAAGCCTTTATCACGCAGATGCCAAATGACCGTGAGGCTTTTCGCGTCTTCGACTCCTCGTTCTCTAACCACGATGTCAGACTCTGAATCTTCAGACTCCAGTGTATCCATTTCTGGTGATGAAAATACATCTGCCCTTCCCTCTCCCTTCAAACCACAGCAAAAACAGCGAGCAGTTGCAAAGAATCGCGAGATCATTGTCCAAACTGCCTTTGATGCTTATTTCACTCACATGTCCGCGCGAGCGCAAACTTCCACTAATGTCTTCTCATCACTCGTTCCTCCGCTGTCTGCTGAGGAGTATACTGAAGCTTCTTCTTTCTTTGGAGCTCAGACTATCAAATCTGAGATTCTAACTTCGGAATCCTGTCGGGCTTCATTATTTCGAAGACTTTCCCTAGAACTTCAAGAGGGTTTCAATATCATTTGCTACGGCTACGGCTCAAAGAGAAAATTATTAAACGATTTCGCCGTCGAATCATGTTCGAAAGCTGGACATGTTGTAGTGGCGAATGCGTTTCAGCTCAACTTTAGCTTGAAAGAGCTTCTCACCTGCATTGAAAAGGTTCCGGGAATTACTTCTCTTCCACTCACTGCCAGCACCATTGAAAGCCAATCGCGGCGGATATCAGACTTTTTTGCGCGATCGTCCCAAAAACGACATCTCTACCTTATCATACATAACATCGACTCCTCTTCCTTGCGTACGCGGAAAGCACAGTCTTGCCTTTCCCTTATTGCTCTCAACCCCAAAATACACATCGTGGCCTCCGTAGATCACTTAACTTCTCCACTACTATGGCCGTCGACGGAACTTTCAGCTAGAAAAGACCAAGAGAGCACTGCGGGTTTGTCAGGGCAAGGCTTTGCCTGGCTTTGGCACGATATGACTACTCTTACACCCTATGACTCTGAACTATCTCATGCTGATCGATCCACCATATTGGGGGCTTCAGGCGGAATGCGCAAACGGGACGCTGTTACCCAGAATGGAGTGTCCATGGTTTCCGAAACTGCAGCACTCCACGTCCTAGCATCCGTCACAGTAAAAGCGAAGAAGCTGTTCGCGCTCATGGCAGAAAAGCAGCTCGATGCAATCGAGGCTTCGACAAATACAGGCCCGGCTGCCGACGACTTGCAACAATACGCAATAGGATACTCCACGCTTTATAATTTTGCTAGAGGAGATTTTATTGCTACGAACGACACAGGCTTCCGCGCTCTTCTAGGAGAGTTTCGGGATCACGATCTGGTCGTAAGTTCACAGCATGGGTCGACTGCTGAAACTTTGTGGATTCCAATGAGAAAAGAAAGGCTTGCAAAGGTTTTGAGTACATTGAAGGTGCCGGAATGAAACTTGAAGCTTGAAGCTTGATGGTGCGGGAGTTTCGATGTCAGCTTCTGAGGTATGCTTTCCTTAGCTACTCGAGTATGTACATATTGCTTTCCTGGGACCTGACAATCTACGTCATATCCCGAAAACAGTCATTTTGAACTTAGCACAATATTAGATAGCAGAGTCTGTGCTATGTCATACTTTACCGTATGCTCCGCATCTCATATTATCAGTGGCGCTTCCGCAGAGTGCTTATAACACCTTCTATCACTCCATCCGCCCTCAAAACGAAGTTCAAATGTCTTCAGCAACGACTAAACCAACCCAGACTGCAGCGGATACCGAAACGGCGAAATTATCCAATGGCCCCACTACTTCAACAGCTTCGACGAAATTCGATGTCCCTGTTCCCCCAGAGCATGACTTTGACGATGACCAAACAGTCGTAAGCACTGATGAGGTAAGATACTGTCTTTTATGTACGACTGTACCTCAAAATTTGGCTCCAGGCTCCGGAAACAGAAAACAAATTTAGAGCAGCGGTGGAAAAGCTTCGGGATGCCATCGAAGGGTACAATACTGCAGTTGAACAGAAAGCTGACGAGAAAACGATCCAAAAGCACGAGCAAAACGTTGTTCAGGCTCTGAGGGAAACAGCGGACAGCTCCCCAAATCCAAAAGTCAAGGAGTACTATAAAGCAAAGGCTCTGGAATTTATGAAGGTCGGGGGAACAGCGAAGAAGGTTTTGACGAACGACATTATCAAAGGTGTCCTGTTCATTCTCGCGTCGCCAGTCGCTCTTCTGTCATCTGTAGTGGTATGTACTTTTGATAAGTGGAGATGAATGCTTTCTGACATTCAGTAGGTGTCGACCGGAGGGTTGGTTTACGGCTTGGTACGGGTTTGCGAAAAGTCTTCAAAGCTTCCTTACTGATACCTTGTAGGGATCGGTTGTTAAGGGTGTTGGGGACCTGATGAGTGGCATGACATTTTCCGGCACCGTCTTGGGCACGAAGGATGACAAGAAGGCTACAAAGAAGAATGCCGGGGTACAGAATGGAGAGGAGGAAGGGAAGAAGGACCAGGAGGAGAGAGAGAATGACTCGGAGACTCAGCAAAAAGACAGTGCAGAAGGAGAAGAAAGAAAAGAGGCAGAAGTCGAAGGTGACCAAGCAACAGAAAGCGGAGGCATTGAGCAAGCTAACAAAGCAAAATAATTTCAGAACACTATATCAGTATCGTACTTCGTAAGCTTATTGTACTTGTAAACAAGTTGTGATTTCCGTTCAAGAAGGTTTTGAACAAACCTGGGTGGAAAAAAGAAACGAGTGCGAAACTTATGACGAGAATGCGATTCGAACCCACGCACGTATCTAATAGTAATACGCTAGTCTGGCGCCTTGGACCGCTCAGCCATCTCGCCAATGACGGCAGTAAATGTGTCTTCTCTCGCGCCACTCTCCATTGTTCTCACCAGCGATTTTGACAAGGACCGTTCTGATTTTCGCAGGGGTGCGTACTCGGAGTCTCAATCGTACGGACAACCTGAGAGAGGATATCGGTGTGAGGAACAGTACTAGTATGGCGATGAGAACGCCAGGGAGCATTTCAGCGGAGGATATCATCATATTAGAGAATACGAGGAAACGTTTGGTCTAGCGCTGAGCGGCAGAATGCGGACTACTTGCGCGCTTGTAATCCATCAATTAGCGCCTTGGCTTGGCTTTTTCTCTCATGGAAATTTCAGATCAACCACCGACGCAGGTTCCGCGTCCTGATCTTTTAGACGTGGATCCTATATGGACCACCAGTAGAACAGCTCGTCAGATTCACGCTCTAGGTGAAGTCGAGAAAGTACGCTGCTCTACGCGTCAAATGATAAGCCACTCACAGAACCGCGCTAATCTACAGGACATAAGCCGTTTACTTTCGCTGGCTGCATCTTCAATCTCTCTCCTTACCTTACCCCAGACTGATGATCCGAATGACAACTTACCCCAAGGAGAAGAAAGATCAGAACAGTTCGTATTGGAAGTTAGCGAGTACTTTGAGCGTCTGGATGTACGTTGGTCAATGTTTGCTGAGACCAGTTGCTGAACTGGGTCTGCAGGCCATCCAAGTTGCTATACGTTCATCTCTAGCTCATATCCGGCATTCACGTATAGCTCCGTCAGCGATCAACGCGCCTCCGCTAGGATTTGTTCCTCCTTCGCTTGGCGTTTCCTTACCGCCAGAATCTGCTGTCGATTCAACTGCGAATCCGCAATCGTCATCGTCCGAGATGCCAACAACTCGCGCAACGCGTGGTCTGCAGGAGGAAAGACTCGATAGAGATGCTTGGAAAGGTATACTGGATGCCCTTACGCGTTTGAAGCGTGCGATAGAAACGGAAGCAAACTCGGATACGCCTCCGGCTGAGAACGGAGCTATGGAGGAAGACACGGAGATGAAGGGAGATGAGAATGTTTGAGGGTAGAAGGCAGGTATGTACGAGGTTAATCCGCCTGCTGGTCGGACAATGAATCAACGTCTCATTCTTTTTTTATATTCTATGAAGTTTCAGCGAAGCATTTCGAGTCTATTCATGGACATCATCGAAAGCGATTATCCTCCTTGAAACTTCATGCAACCTGCCTCGTCTTCAAGTCCTCCGATCAAATGACCTGGTCATGGAAAGAGATATACGTATGTTGGTCAAGCGTCATGTTGATGTTTGGGTTGAGAATCCGATTCATGAGAGTCGCACTTCAATTTAGTGGCTGCTAGACGGCCGTAGGTTTGGGTTCTAGATGGAACTCGGATGTCAGGTAGAAACCCATTGAACCTGAGGTGATAGAAGAACGCTTGATCCTTGCGGACTGAAAGAAGGTTTATTTGGTATTCTGGAATCCCTGTATATGTGTAAACAGTGCAGACCGCTTTAACCTTATAGCCATATGATGGGAAGAGTCTATTTATTTCTGTACCAAGGTACATACGGTGGTTTTCAGAAAGCGAAGATGTTGCATGTCTGACCTCCTCGGAACTGGATAATGTCCATATTCCAACAGGCTGGCGCACTTAAATGACATACCCTTTTCCCGACGGGCTCTTCTTGATGCTTTAATACTTCTTCGATGGCCTGCCTCATCATCGGTATTGAAGTGAATTACTGTCGAAATTTGGGTTATCGACGGTATTTTGCCCGCCGAGTATCGATGAGATTCTTGAGTAGCCTTCATACCCACAAAAACCTGTCAGGCAATCAGCTCGGGATTCCTTTTTCTTTCCGCCATGCTATCTGCTGCTGGTGTCATGGAAGTACATAGTCTCCATTTATCTTGAAACAAATAGTGTGTAAAGTACGTTGGCTCAAGTAAGAAAACCACCGGTGATCATCTGTATCAAAGCGAGGGACTGATACACTTGAACGACGCGTGTATTACAGCGTACAGAATCCATGTGCACTACGCTACCCCTTGCCAGTGGTAGAGAACGGTTCCCTGAGCAGGAAAAAAAGATCGGATTCATGAAAGTTGAACGGATTCACAAACTTACCGTACTGCTCTCCTTTTGGACAATTTTTCGGTTTACAAGAGCTATTAGACATTTGTTTACCCGAGCCTGGTTGAGATCCGGTGGCTTGATCAAGTCAGAAACTTGAAAAGCAAAACTGAATGTGAGACGGCTTTGGAGAGGAAAAGTATGGCTGGGTCAAAACTAACGCTTTACAGTTTGATTGGGGGCATCCCAGATGCCTTCTATCACGCTCTCCATGTTACGACGAAGATTCTGGAAAGAGATATTTAGATCGCGATGGACAAGGAAAGAGAGTAGGATATACCGGATCACTGCCTCGAAATTCGAGGGGTAAAAACGCAATGATGCGTTCTACTTCCATCTGAGAAATGGTATGAGTGGATTCGTGCAAGAAGAAAAACCCATGTCCGTACCGCTCGTTCCTTCTTTTCTTTCGCAGACAACTTTGGTTTTTTGCCTTTGACGACTTTCTTTGTGGTCGTTATCGTTTTTGCAGGGGCAGGATTGGCAGTAAATGTAGCCTCTAGATCGATGGCAGTAGCGTGTGTCTGGTCATTTACACTTGCATCAGCGGCGGAAGCTTGGATTGCTGCTTTCGCCTTTGCTTGGAGCGCTTCCATCGCAGCAAGTGCATTTTGTTCTAAAATATTGAATGACTAGATGTAATAAGACTTTCGAGTTATTAATACCTGCTCTACGTTTGGCTAGCATAAAAGATCCATCGTGAGGTGCCTTGATAGACCAAGGATAAGTGTGACCATCGCAACTTTTGTGTACATAGACCAACCTGGGGCCAGTCGACAGTTAGCGCATTCATATTCATGACATAAAGCCAGCTGGCAAAAGACTCGTTGAAAGACGCGAGAGTTTCGCTCAGACGTTGGAGGCCGTCGACGTTTGTTAACAGAGTTTCGGTCTCATCGATAAATTCAGACATTGCAGGTTCAAGGAAACCAAGGCCATGGGGGGCGTCAGGATAGGCACCAGAGCGTGAAAGACGCAATAGGGAACCTTGAGAAACTCTGCGAAGGGGAGTTTTATGAGGAGTTTGCATTGAACAGTTGAAAGGACAAAGAGACCATTGATTAAATTGGGCGCTTATTTCGGGCCGGTAATGCCGGTTGAATGATTTCCTAATTGGGAACAATAACTCGCTGAGCTTATTGACCTTTGCTCAATGGGACGTACAAGGACAAAAGAACAAGGACATCCTATATAACCAGTAAGCTTTTTACAGCCATGTTAGCTTGTCTACTCTTTCTCTTCTACTTCCACGATCTTCACGTATCATGACCTCTGTAGCCAGTTGTAAGTTTCAATCTACCACCACCACTACCACCACATTCTCAGAATTCCTTCTAGTCTTCCCTTTAAAACGAAGCCCTCGTGCTCGTTCTCGCAAAAATCAGCCTTTACAATTTCTACTTTCCTCAAAACCTGATCTTCAAATCATTCCTGAAGAAGAAGACGAGCCTCGGCCATCTTGCTCTTCATGGACTACTTCTTCTACGTGTAATACTCCAGACTTAAAAAGGCGCAGGTAAGCATCTCAATTATCCTCAAGTTTCTCGTCACTTACAGTTATATCCAGACCTATCTCTCCTCACGAAATTCGCATCGCCAAAATCCCCATTACAGACGATGACGACGATTTGGAAAACTTCTCCTTGCTCGCTGCACCAAGACCTGCCCCACGACCCCCTTGCTCTGCCTCTCCGGCTTCTTCTCCAGACTCCTTCCAACTCACATTTACCGAAGAGTCGTTTAGATTCCCTCATCCACCACTTCCAACACCCTCTTCTTCAGACCTCCACTTTGGCGTCCAGTCTCCAATTTCCAGTCCGAGCTCTGACTCGTCAGCTCTACCTTTAACCCCTACTTCTTCCGATGACGAATTTCAGTTGCCTGCGGCCCTCATTCCACGCAGAGCGTCTATCCGCCCCCTGACCATTGTCAAGAACGGCGCTTTACCTTCCATGTTCAGTCATTCTCCTTCAGAGTTGTCCGATGAAGAGTCGTCCGTATCTGATATGGAGTCAGAACCAGAGTCCGATTCAGAGTGGTACAGTCGTGAACTGAGTCAAATCGTGACTCTGCGCTCCGCTTTTCCGCCCAACTTCCCAAAAACTGTCAGATCTGACTCTGCCAGACCAGAATCGATGATTGGTTCAGTCCACACTGGATCCCTTTCCCCGGCTTCTTCCGCTTCTTCAAACTTCCCTTCTCCTCAGCTTGACCCGGCTTACCCTAGGCGTCGGTATCCTATCCCCACACGTTCACCCCCTCCTCCCCCCCGAGACTCCTTGGTTCCATCTCCTGTGGATCTTGAAGACGACGTGTTCCTGGTGCGACCGGAGAACCCTGAACCCCGCCGACGACCCCCTCCTCGCATGAGCATCCCCGCCGACTTTGGTTTCTTCCCCGAAGACGGCGATGCTTCTGAAGAGGAAGATGATGATGACGACAATGTTCTAACCTACTACATTGAGGCGGAGGCTTCTACTCCTTCCACATCCTCTGGCAGTTTCTATTCGCAACCTTCGCACATTGAACGCTTTTCCATCTCCGATCTTGAAGAGGGTGAACTCCAATTCGAGGTCGATACGGATCTTGACCGCCCAATCATGCTTCCTCTATCACTACCCAACACTCCTATTGATCTCGAGGCCGATATTGCCCATGGGCTCGCCGAGCTTCAGATGCGCAGAAGAGAAGCGGGTGTTCCCATTGACGAGATTCCAACACGCCCAACGTCATCACTCTCACTCTCTCGCACTCCATCTCGAAGGCGAATGCGCAGAAACGTGACGGTGTCAGTCCCTATCGCCATTGATTGGAATCTTTCAGAGGAGGAAGAAATTGCAGCAGATGAGGCTAGGGAGGAAGCTGCTGCTCAGGATCAAA